CGTTGAGTATTTCCTGACAAACCGGTTCCACAAAAGGGGCGATGGCAGGACGGTTTCATTTCCTTTTCCTGCAACTTCATATTGGTGTACACCTTTGCGGTTTCTGAACAGTAATTTATCGAGTACATTGTTTTGCCTACCGATTTTCGATGGATTTGCATGATTCACGAATAACTTTACATAAACGTTACGATTAAGAAAATCAACTATGTTACATCGTGCCCAGTTAAATAACCAAGTATCTAGCGTGCCTTATTTTATCTTCTACGTTACGTTGGTTTATTAATGCCATTAGAACGACTCAACAACTCTTCATATGCTAGCCGAATCTGGAGGATAATTAGTTGAGGATACTCTGCCCTTCCTGGAGGGCTTACCTTCTCTTGTGGACTGTCCGGCGTAAACCTGCACAAAATTGCTGCTACCTCATACCATTCCCGAGCCTCTTGAATTTGGAACGATCTGGTACTAGACATTCAATTCTGTTTCTCGCCAAGTAAATTCAGCCATACGAGACACATTCCACGCCAGTGTTGAATGCAGTGCTAATGAGCCATTGTTTCTCTTCTAGAGGAAATTGCTAACAAGATCATTAGAACGCTCAGTATTTGAGACGGGCCCTCAGTACGTACATCATCATTTGTAACCTCCGGCTGTATTTTCAGGATATCGATAGCTTGATGCATATATGACAGAGCCTTCTGTCGATCTGTTGCCTTACCCCTTGATAAGAGTATGGTACATAGGGCCCGTAGCCACCTGGAAAACTTCTTAACAGACAGGCGCCCTTGCTGCGTGGTGGTGCTCAGGATGGACTGGAGGGTATCGTTAAAACACTGCGAGACAATGACCACCACGAACCTCGAGGCAGGTAAACAAAACTAATTCGTGGTCAGATCGCTATTTACGGAGAGCAGGCAAACTAACCTGCGATGGGACAATTTTTGTGAGCCCACTAGGTGTCTCGTCAGTATTGGGGTCATATAGTTATGAATATAGTACCAAGATGTCTGCCACTGCTTCTTGAGTCTCCATAGAGACGTCTGAGGCATAGTTTGACTCCTGTGTCTCTTTAGTCTGATCCTAGCCCACGAGTAATTACCTAACCTGTATACATAACTGGAGGCGCTCCCATTCTTGCAACTCTGCAAGACATTCTATTTGGTAGATGAGGGACAAGTGAGATATACTAGATATAACGGCTTCATCCACCAATGTCGATCTTGACATTGAATGAGATAATAGCAAATGTCTCAATATATCAATATCAGTCAGAATCAAGCGGAGAGATTCCGACTAATATAGCTTGAGCACCAAGAATGACTAGAAATGAGCGACTAACCTTTTCAGGGGATGGTATTGCCGGTCGGGTTGCAAACACTGATAATTTGTTGACATCAGTATCCCCATAAAAGACATATAGCACATACATTGACCACTAATGGCGGCAAAGGAAGCCATGACTTGATGCTTGAATAGGTCAGCCTCGGAGTCTGCTGCTGTAATTTGGTCGCAGAGATGTATTAACTTGAATTGGTTGAGTTTTTATTCACAAAAATGTGTTATAACTCACGTCTCGTGCTATAATAAACATAGATGTGACATCCGTATCTGTCCATTTTCCCAATGAACCAACAGCAGTATTATAAGCAGTCCGCCACAGCCATGAGATATCTCAAGGAATGACGATCGTAAGGTATGGTAAAATAGATTCGAAGGACGCTTTATTGATAACCTTAGGTGTTTGGTCCGCTTGGTTATCCAAATGATAGAAGAGCCGGCTGCCAACCAGTAAGCCGTCAAATATCGGGCTTATTCTTCGATTTCTAAAAGTACTTAAGTAAATCGGTGTTTAATCTCCTCTCCAAACACTTTCGCACAGGTACACCAGGAAACTTAAGGTTACTTGCAACTGACTCGCCGAAGCAATTGAACTAGCAATAGATGCCATCGCTCGCAAAGATGATACAGTCATATCCAGAGACATCTCATGGTTGTGGCGGACTGCTTATAACACTGCTGTTGGTTCGTTGGGAAAATGGACAGATA